TGCTGTGCTTGAACCTTCACTTCTCAGTCGACTACCCGTTCTAAATATGGTTTTTACGTCATAAAAGGTCGACTTATAACCGGAAAAATACGGTTTTATGCAGACCATATTTATAGGAAGCCTGAGCAGTGTGTTTGTGTGGGGGGGGGGGGTAGATGATGAGGATTGGAGAATGTCACTCATTCGAAAAAGGTTCCAGTGCAACAGTGCAAGTCAAGAGTTTCAGTGCAAAACGCTGTAAGGGCCGAATTTGAGAAGTTGAAATTTTGAGATTAGTGCATTCAGAAGGCCAATGGGTAGAGGGGACGGCTCGATACCGGGACGCTTTGACAGCCAAATTTGTATAGACCCAAACCGATCATCAGCGTTGATTTTTCACTCGAAATATGTTTGTGGAAGGAAACTGGCATGTTGAAGTTTGCTCTGGGGCTAGAGTCAATCGAACTGAGCCACTCCTTTGTGTTGACCCATTGCCTCCAAGTTGCCCAATTTTTCGCTTCAAAAGTTCAAATCAGAGGTGGCTCCAAACCGGACACGTTTTAGAGTGCACGTCAAATTCACTCTGGGTCTGAAATTAGGTAATTGCTATCGCTCCACGACGGCCAGTACAGAGTAACAATAAGCCTTGTGTGTGCTTCCATTAGTTTTGATTGATATGCGGTGCTTTATTGGCGAGAGGCGAGCCGCTGTTTACCTGCGACAAGAAGTTGATTTTTCGAAAGTCGTAAAACTCAAGTCGCAGTTCTAAGCAACACGTCAAAAACTCACCTGCTTGATATGGCGCTTCTGGTCATCGCAGAGCCATGAAATTTTGGCTCGGAGTATAACACATCGTAGTCTCACTGTGACATATGTTTTCTAATCAAAATACCAAGAGAGAAAGTGAATATTGAGTCCGTTCCGGTTTGCAACCTGTGTCCTTTTTGAAACCGTCCCCTCTACATTCAGGCAAAATTTCCCATTCAAAAATCTGATTAGAACCACCTCAAAACTGACGGCCAAATACGGAGGTAGATACAGACCACACATGAAATGAGTCGCATTTTGGCCATTACTTGGAAGGTGATGACGTGCATATTATGTAAGGTTATCATTCAAGCTGTCATACGGGGTGCAGGCCAGCTGGCGCAAGGATGCATTGGGAATCGGAGGACCAAACAGCTATCCACTGCACACCGTGTTTGCAATCAAGCTCTTCGCCTTACCCGTAACCACCATTCCATGCGCAGGAGCCGGAACGTTGTTAAGGCGATTGCCGGCCGGAGTGGTTCCTGCCCTCAAGTCATTGTTCAGTAAGTAGATGAGGATAGGAATGTCTCCCTCTGCCACAAAACAAACAACCGCAAAATACAGTGAAGTTGACAAACAAATACGATTTAATTCAATACAAACATGACACGCCTTGATCCTTGAAGGGTGGTGGTGTTCCTGCGGATGCGGAAAACTCGGCCTCTAGCCGAGTCTGACGCGAACCGTGAAATTGTTTTAACGTGACACGGGTTCGCGTACAGGACGGGTCAAGAACCGCCTTCCCGCTTCCACGGGACGCCACCGCCCCATGATCAGGCGTCAGATGCGGCTCCTAAACAGTGCAGCGAGGATAGATCAGACCCACCAGCCAGAGAGGCCAACGGCCAAAATCCAATTCGCCGCATTCATGTTTTGCTCGCGCCAGGCCACAAGTTGTTCAAAAATATCCTCAACCTTGGTTCTGTCCTAGATCGTATATACATGCATTCATTGTTTCGTCTCATCATCATGGAGCAGCTTATGCAAAGGCTAGCCAAGCTTGCTTGGCGATGCCAACGCGGAAAAGCCTATACTAAATAATAAGAATACTAATAAGTCCATAATCTACCAATTCACTTGGGTCGCAGCACGGCTGGAAAAAATCGCTCCGCTTCCAAACAGGCAACACGAAAATGAAGTGAAATGCTGACAAGAGTCTACAGCTATTTTACGGACGGCCTATAAAGAATGCAAAGGGAAGGGAAATCCACAGAAGGCACAGTGCTACAGAGATGCCCAGAATAAAGACCTACGCAAACAGTGAGAGAAAGAGACCAAGGCAGGGGCAAATAGATGGGTGTGCAGGTGACAAAAAAACCCCACTATACTAGTAGTGCATTTCACCGTGTAGGCGCTGCATCTGCGCCTTTGATCCTAGAGGGTGGTGGCATTCCCACGGCGGATGCGGAAAACTCGGCTTCCAGCCGAGTCTCACGCGAACCGTGAAATTTTTTATGTATTTTTATTTCAAAAGTATAGACCTCTAGACTTTTTTTTCCAATAATTCAAATTTGGTTGGAGCTTTTTCAGAAATTTCTTCGGAATACTGCTCAGGCAGCCCACGCAATTTTCTCATGATTATAAATTTCTAAACGATCGGATAACAGACGCCCAATTTCGAAATTTTTATGCACAAACTGATCACAGATTTTATGTGGTATAGATGCTGGCCTAACGGTTTTTTTAAACCAGAGGTCTGGACTTTTGAAACGCACTATAATACCTCGTTTATCCGGGCGGGTCCGTAACCGGGCACTGTCCGTGACTTTGAAATATCCGTAACTCCGAAACACATACATCGTGATGGACCAAGGCATTTTTGATGGGGTAGGCATTTGATATGGCATATGACGTCGCCTTTTCCACAAAACTGCCAAAAAATTCACGGTTCGCGTTAGACTTGGCTGGAGTCGGGGTTTTCCGCATCCGTACGCACGCCACCACTCTCTGCGGATCAAAAGAGTAGTAACAGTAGGCCACGAGAGTAGTAATAGTAGGCCACGAGAGTAGTAATATTAGGCCACGAGAGTAGTAATATTAGGCCACAAGAGTAGTAATATTAGGCCACAAGAGTAGTAATATTAGGCCACGAGAGTAGTAATATTAGGCCACAAGAGTAGTAATATTAGGCCACAAGAGAAGTAATATTAGGCCACAAGAGTAGTAATATTAGGCCACAAGAGTAGTAATATTTCCACTGAAACTCTCCCCAAGCGTGCCCGGTAGACCGGAGTGCCCGTAGCTTCGGGGTCCGCATACTGCATAACACGTTATTTTCGGTGGAACTTAAATTTCGGTATTTTCGGTAGAGAAACCAGGCACCTAAAGCTAGATTACACCTAAAATGGCACTAGAGTATGCACTGTATGTGAAGGTAATGATGGTCACCTAACTCTACAGTACACCTGAAACCTGGCAGGTCTCTGGCAGCGAAATTTTACTGCACTTAAAATGACATGTTATGCAGTAACCAAGGTATGAGTGTGTGTAGAGGCATTGTCCCCTTTTCCAGCCATGTAGCTATCAGAGTGACTTCTCGCGTGCACCACGAAGGAACCCTGGGGGGACAACCAGTGTAACATCCGTTTTCCACAACATTATCCGGATAGGCAAGGGAACCGGATAATCGAACACACATACTGTACATATGCATGGCAAATGCTGTAAATCGGCAACCAACGATTTTCTTCCGGATGGAGAGGTACCGGATAAGCTAGGTCTGACTGCACTTACGCTGCGCTTGAGCGTTTGTTGATGCCTGTATTGCCGGTGTCTCCGGTCCAAACATGCTGGGATTATTGATATTGGATGCAGACACTGTGATGAAGTACAGCGTGTTTGGCATCAGGTCGTTTAGCGTGAAGGTAAGCGCGGTGGTGTTGAACACTTCGGCTGTACACATACACATACAAACACACACACACACACACACACACACATACACACACACACATACACACACACACATGCACACACACACACACACACACACACACACACACACACACACGCACACACACGCACACACACACACACACACACACACACACACACACACACACACACACACACACATACATACACACACACACACACACACACACACACACACACACACACAGGATGACATGGGAAAGGCTTGGTTTCAACTTAATAGCTATTGGCAAAGATCAGAAAACAATACCAACACAATATGGATCCCGAAGTTCATAAAACATTTAGCTGGAAGTTGACTAAATCACTGGTACCAGCAGAAAGAGAATGAGAGGCATTACAAGACCCGGAGGAATGTACCCTGATCAAGCCCTAGGTGTACCAAATATATAATCAGGTGACCCAACAGAATGCAACTAAGTCAGATATGCCAGCAGAATGTAACCAAGTCGAATGCGCCAAAAGAATGCAGCCCCGAGTCAGATGAGCCAACAGAACGCAACCAAGTCGGATGAGCCAACAGAATGCAACGGAATCGAAACTTACCATCGCTGCCGTTGCTGATGAATATCTGATAGTGACTTATGACGTTGCTGGGCATCAGAGGCGGCAGGTAAGCCAGCGTAAAGGACGTAGTGCTACGGGTAGCGACTCTCAGGTCTACCGGGGCGCTGCCTGGTGGGGCTGTATGCAGCACAGGGCATTGCATGAACACCAGCAGGCAAGATGAACATGAACAACAGTGCCTTGAAGAACTCTTTATTCATACTTCAGATAGGACAAGTACAGTGAAAACTGTATAAACCGCCCGCTCAAGGGACCTTGCAAACGCGGTCCGTGTCAAAGGCATCGGAAACTATTCGACATTGGTGTGGCGATGAAGATGTTGGAGGTGCGGGGGGGGGGCCTTCCCGGGGAAATATCTCCGATAATCGGGCCCGAATGGCCCATACTGGTATTGCTTCAAACATCACAAGATGAAACAGACTGTTCAGAACGACCTTATCAGAGTGATGCCCATGCCGGGGGTTTGACCTGCAAGACTGTCCAGAGCCGACCTACCTGTGGTGTTGGCGGGCACCCTGAAGAAAGTGCCCATGCTCAGGTTGGACATGATGGTCCCGTTCAGCACCCACTGTGCACTGATCTGAGAGGACGGCACAGAACAGAAGCACAAGTCAATGTTAAGGCGCCAGCAAAACACAAGCAGAAGTCAAGGTTACGCCACCAGCCCAAAGAACTGGCCAATGACATAACCTATAGGGGGGGGGGGGGGCTTACAGAAGTCTGTTCTTCATGAGCATCACATTGGATATTGCAGAAACCAGACAGTGCACAGCATGGAGGCAATCACAGGAATTCCCCATGCCCATGACATCAAAGGGGAGTTCCCCAAGCCCACGACATCAAAAGGGAGTTCCCCAAGCCCAGGACACCAAGGGGAATTCCCAAAGTCCAGGCTGCATGTGTAATGCATAACTAGTTAGCATGCGTACACCCGCACCAGGAACGTGGGTCTAATTAAACGATACATGGTTTACTACGACAGGTAACTTATACCACAATCGTGCCGCCGAACAGTGCAAAACATCTGGTTGCGGCTTATACCACGGAGAATATGGAAGCTTAGCTGAATGGTCACCTGCGCCAAGAGAGTGCAAGTACTCAACATGTCATGCCTGCCCGGGCTTAGACAGCTGCAGGTTGATCATGAGAACTTACAATATACTCTACGCCTGCTTCGACGTCGGTGATGTTGATTGTGCCTGTGCTGCCCACCTGCAACATGTACACACACACACACACACACACACACACACACACACACACACACACACACACACATACGCACACACACATATGCACACACACACACACACACACACACACACACAGAAACACACAGACACACACACACACACACACACACACACACACACACACACATACACACACACACACACACACACACACACACACACACACACACACACACACACACACACACACACACACACACACATACACACACACCATGTATCCATGTATATGCCCGTTGCAAGAGAAGCACGCAAATCTGCAAATGCACTGGATGTGCACCCACAGATTTTCTCTTATAGCAACGATAGCGAACAAGATCTGAATGAGACAGATCAAGAGTAGTGCCAGATAACTGTCCAATCCACACAACTAGCGAAGCCATGTGAATCGACCACCAATGCACACCTGGTCTACACCACACGGAGTACATCGGCATAAAACGGCCAAGACAGTTACCTATGCACACCCTACACTTGCTGGGGTAACCAGTATGGACAGCACGCTGCTTTGTTAGAAGCAGACACTAGATGCACTGGCACCTTGAAGTGAAATTGCAGTTACAGTGCACTTTACCAACCAGCCTCGGCTAGTGAGTACACACACACGCACGCACACACACACACACACACACACACACACACACACACACACACACACACACACACAAACACAGAATTCGTCACAGATCACACCCACTGCTCTTGCGTCCACAGTCAGCCCCCAATACTACCCCTTACCTCTAGTGCCACGGGTTGAAAAGCCTGTCCGACCACACCATTGTCTCGTTGCACTATGATTGTGTATGTGACCTGTGTGGCGTTGACGACGGTTGATGGGCATAGCTGCGCTACACACACACTGAGCTGCACAGTGTCGGTGAAAGCGGGCACTTTGAGCGGCGCTGGAGGAACGCTGAAGATGTCCGACACGCACGGCTGGTTGGCGGCAAGCTGCGGAGAAACAAATATGTATGCACGCAAACATACACATACACATACATACACACATACACACACACACACACACAGTAAAACCTGGTGTAAGCGACCTCTGGTTTTAGCGACCACCTGCTCGTAACGACCGCTTTTCCACGCACGGACAGTTCTACACAGACACTGTGGGACCTGGTTCTAAAGACCACCTGGCTTTAACGACCGCTTTTTCTTGCACCGTGGGGTGGTCGCTTAAACCAGTTTTTACTGTACTTGGCCGAACTGCGGTAAATCAATAAAACAGTGAATGGTATCATCCGGCTCTTTCCAGAAGTAAAGTTCGCACGTCCGCGGTACAACCGGCTATAAAATTGTATCGAGAAACACAACCAGCTTAGGAAGTTTCGTTCGTGCCAGGCCACCACCATGCCTGAGATGCCAGGGTGGCAGATGCAGCGCCTAGCGGTGAGGATGACGCGGTAAGTCTCACAACCAATGCCCGATCAACTGGGTACTGACCACAGTGCACTAGGAGTGAGGGTAACATGGATGCAGCTAACGAAGTTCGCCCCCTTATCGGTCATAGACCTTATGCCGGTTAGTCTGTACTAGTTGTACAGATTGGGTGTTCATTGTGTGCTATGCATGCGCATTTGACCTCTTAGCCTCATAATTTATTGGCAAGCAATCGCTTTTCCAATTTCTTCACTTTGGTTAGAACTAATGACTAGCTAGATCTTTGTCAGAAAAAGGATTTCGTATGAAACTCCTTCAGGGCCCATTTCATAGTGGAAATAGCAGTAAACACAATAGGGTCCTGCACATTCAACACCCAACCGGGTCTACGGGATTCTACGAGATCTGTACAACTTGTACTAACCGGCATAAGCCGTATTGGTTATGAGACAAATGCGGTACCAGTGTACTACCAATTTAGCATTACAGTAGAAATTCTAACTTAGAAGTTGCGACTTCGGCGGTATCAGTCATGAAGTAGTCATGAAGTGCGACGTGCTCCTCGTGTGCTCCGGATGGCAGTCGTGAGCCAGTCAAGTGTCAAGGTCGGCGGGAAGCGTGTGTTCCTCGTCGGAGCAACCAACTTCAGTAGAAGTTCTCTTATCCATACGCCTCGGTACCAAAGTTGCTTGTGTCTCAGAAAAACCCATCACATTATAACTAGGAAACACACTGCAACTACAGTTGCGACCAAAGTGTTTCTTTTTGCCCGTCAATTGATCAGTGGACCTTCATAGAACTGGTATGGTATCTGTTCTGTAGGATTACCCCTGCCAAAGTCCTACTGAGGCTACAGGTTCAAGATGATGCCCAGTTGTACAATTGTGTGTGTTTGTTTGTTTGTGTGTTTGTGTGTGTATGCACGTGTGTGTGGTGTGTGTGTGTGTGTGCGTGGTGTGTGTGTGTGGTGTGTGTGTGTGGTGTGTGTGTGTGTGTGTGTGTGTGTGTGTGTAAGCTCGTGTGTGTGTATGCGTGCATGTGTGTATGTCTGTGTACGGCTGCAGGGGGATTTCCCCAGGTCTGCAATACATCAGACCCGGACTGCCAGAGCCATGTACACTTAGGGCATGAATGATGAATGGCGGGGTGGGTGCCACACAATAGCTACATGCCTGACAGAGGTGGTTGCGATTGTCAATGGCAACAGAACACACACACACACACACACACACACACACACACACACACACACACACACACACACACACACACACACACACGTCTGGTTCAAGGGTGTAAAGAGGCACTTAAATCTATAGCCACCCATGCATGCAAACATGTATACTAATGCTGTGATCAAGTACAAGTATTACAAGGAATACTGTACTGGAGGATACAGTAAAATTCCTTTACACTGATTGATTGGGCTTGCACCTGCCATACATGGTCAGGGCAGTGAAGCAGTTCCCTGACATCAAAATTAATAATGATTCTTACGGATCCAGTGACACCTGATCATGGGGTGGTGGCGTCCCATGGAAGCGGAAAGGTGGTTCTTGACCTAGGGGTTGTACGACTCCTTGTTCTTGACCTGCCCGGCACGCGAACCCGTCGAGTTTTTCTTTTCTCTTTTTTTACGGATCCAGTATAGCAATAAATAGAACTATTAAACTCTGCTGTCGTCACCATGACTGTATCGTCGATCGAAGTCAAAGGCTTTTTTCCAAAATTCAATGATACATGGCGATGACGGCAGACTTAGCTCTATCTATTGCTATGTTCAAACTGTCGTCTCAGCGTTGTTTATTTACTGACCCAGTATCTACAATAATACATTGCTACAGTCATTTTTTCCGAAGTATGTGCCATTTTTCTTACTATTCTTGTACCCTTGTTTTTTCACTCCAAGTGTATACATCCTATTGCAGTTTCATTATTCCTTTTAGCCACGAATTCCATTGGTAATTGTGACAAGAAAACGTTCTGGAACACTTAATTCGTTGCTATGGTTGTAGTATGAGTGCGCATATAGTTTTATTCATTGCATTATTAAAATTATTAAGATTATTGTTTCCAAGTCGCCTTTTTACTAAAGTCAACATTCAGTTTAAAGACTCTGGGTGGGGCTGAAGAAAAGTTTCGGTGTTCACGAGTTGTTGTTATTCGCGAGCTTTAAGTAGAACAACGTTACTAGGTCTGAAGACAGCGCAAATATTTGGGAGTTGCTGTTACAAACAAGGTTGACAGTATTAAGGTTTGCCAACACCCGCCATAATACTTTCCCTGCCATTAGACTTCGGATATACAGTATGTGTACTTTCGTTATAAAGTACACACAGCTATTCCATGCTCCCTGGAACTTTAATATGTACTTCAAAGGGCCATACATCTGTACTTGATTGCCAATACACTGTGTATCCAAGGTCAATTGAATGGTTAAAATATGGTTCTTTCGTTCAAAAGGTCTGAGGGGCGGAAAGGGGAAGTTCTGAAAAGAGATTGACTGTCACCACCAGGACTCAAACCAATGACATGCGTTTGAGGCCAACGATGCTCTCACAACTGAGCTATGTATGGAACACCACCACACACTGCACGAGGACTGTCTCCAACCAGATTCTTATCTGCTAAGGTGCAGAGCTCACGGCTGGCTCAGTACTTCCCCCGCTCACCACCAGGACTCAAACCAATGACATGCGTTTGAGGCCAGCGATGCTCCCACAACTGAGCTATTGATTGAAGACTACCACACACTGCACGAGGTTTATCTCCAACCAGATTCCTATCTGCTAATGTGCAGGGATCACGGCTGGCTGAGTACTTCCCCCGCTCAGTTCTCTTCTGTACAACCTTAGGCTTAGTTTGTATGCATGGACTTTGAAGTACGTGCATTGTGCTAGTCTCACTAGCCGTAGTACGGTGCTGGCAACTGAAATCCGACCCCCTGAGCGGTGGGTTCACATTCTAGCGGTCTCTGTATGGTAGTTTTACCATCCCGTGTTGGGTCTTTGCCATGTGAGCGCACCACCGCTCAGGGGGTCGGATTTCAGTTGCCATCACTGTACTGCTACTACTACTTCTTGCGTAGGGATGAACAACTATCCTATCCACGATGGGAATTAACCGTATTGCGTGACTGATCCTTTCAATGTTCTAACCTTTCAAGTGACTTTTCCTTTTCTGCCTGGACTCCTCCTTGGTTTCCCTTTTCTCTCTAGCTCTATATATTTTACTAGCGAACTCCCAACAGGCATTGCCTCTTTACTGGGAACCCAAGGAATGACTTGGTGCTTGTGACAAATGCAGAAATGGGCTTAGCTTGACGACATCCAGGTGGCAGCATGTTCCATCTCTATTGTCAGCTGACCGATCAGTCACACCTGGAAACAAACCTCCAACCTGAACTGTGCCCCCAAGGATTTGTTCAGCAATGGTGTGAGCCATGGGGCTGGCTGACCATTTGCAAGTGCAATCACCGACACCAAGGACAACAAAACCCGGCTGTGCAGCAAATGCCCCGTGGCACGTGTTAACAGCCTGCGACAAGCACCACTACAGCATCAGGAATCATGCTGAACACCACACCACGAATACATAAGCAAGTGTACACGTGTTGAAGTATGAAGTTGACGACAAGTTAAAGGCAACTTATTGTCAACTTTGCTGATTTCTCTCAATCTTCCGTCAACCAGCATAGCCCTCCAATCCACTACTAGTACACGCATACACAAACACAGCGTACGTTTCATTTTAAAACGCACACATAGACGTGTACCTATACACGCACACACACACATGCCCCCTCCCATATACACACGCGCACGCACACACACACACATGCCCCCCCCCCCCCATATACACACGCGCACGCACACACATGCCCCCCCCCCCATATACACACACACGCACGCACACACATGTCCCCCCCCCCCACAAACATACACGCACACACATCCCCCCCCCCATATACACACACGCACGCACACACATGCCCCCCCCCCCCATATACACACACACGCACGCACACATATGCCCCCCCCCCCCATACACACACGCACGCACACACATGCCCCCCCCCATACACACACACGCACGCACGCACACACATGCCCCCCCCCCCATACACACACACGCACGCACACACATGCCCCCCCCCCCCCATACACACACACACGCACGCACACACATGCCCCCCCATACACACACACACACACGCACACACATGCCCCCCCCCCACATATACATACACACACTCACACATACAATGGTACTTTTCGCCAAGCCCTGCACGTTGTTTGAAACTACGGGATGAGCATCGTGCGTACAAGAACTTGAAGAAGGAAAAGGACATCGCGAGAACAATAATTATTATGCTTCCACATACTTCACTAATCCACGTGATTATTATGCAACCTATGCGACTATGTAGTCTTGGTTTAGCACGTCAGTTCGTTAGCTAAACCACTCCTCATAAAAACTCTCTCAAACTCTAATGACGCAATCATAAGGTACCTCCACCAGTCAGGGTCTGCGCGAATACACTTCCGCACTGTCCGTCAGCATCCCATATCAAAATGCATTGCAGCCACTGCCACCACGACAGATTTGTGATCAACCACGGGTGGGTCCAAATAGAATAGATGCTGCCTGTTTGAACACCAACGTTGAGAACAAATCACGGTACTGCAAGTCAGTGTCTGGGTGGCGTGGCATGATAGCAACATGGATGCAGAAGACACCATTTCGGTCTTTGGCACACTTTCAGGTAGGTTCGATTTGTTCCCTTCTCACCCCTAGTGTTTCCCCAATTTACACCCTCTCTCTTTCCTCTGTTCTTCGACCTCCCACACGCCTGAAATATTTGCCTTTTTTTTTGCGAAAAATTCATTCTCGTTCTGTGTCCTGAACTCAACAAATAACAGGAAGAAACAAACCATTAATTTTTTTTCTTCAGACTTTTCCCTTTTCCATAGGGCTTGAAAGTGCTACGTCACAGCATAGCAACAATTTCAAAAATTCAAAAATTGGATCCACTTGGATCCAGTTTTTGTATGGATCCAAGCACATTTCAAGCCGTCTTACTCACCGCAAGGTGATGTAACCAGTGAAACTGAGTGATTTGGCTACTGGGGGCTGGGTTACAGCTGGTGGCGAAGTAAAAGTCACCCCTGCATGCGACATGAGTGGGTTGCTGTGCACCCACATACTGAGGCAATAGCAAAGTCACACCTTAGTGGATCCAAAATAGAAATCTGATGTCAACTTAGTACTCCCTGGCCGCTTTTGACGTCATCACTTTCAAGCCCTATTCCGTCGACCAGTGAGTAAAAGAAACAGTCCACCAGGAAAGGCGGGGGAACACTGGGGAAATGTGGGAATAAGAACTAAAAAGTTGAACTCGGATGGTGAGCCAATATAGTTATGATGGACTGTATAAGATCTGGTTACGTTGGTGGACAGTTTGTCATAACTCGTAACATTTTGTCCTTTTCCTTTCTTTATCATAAGAACTAAAAAGTGCAAAATTCAACTCCCATGGTGAGCCAATTAAATTATGGTGAAAAAGGAGAAGGACAAAACGTTACGAGTTATCACTAGCTGTCCACCAACGCAACCAGATCTTATACAGTCAGCGAGTAACATTATTGTCCTCCTCCTTTTTCACCATGACTAAAATGTGATCAGGGCTTTCTGCATCCTGGTGTTAAAACGTGACCATTAGTTACTATGTGCAATGCTGAGAGCCTGATGGACTCGGATGGAGAGCCAAGGATAAATTTATAGTAAAGAAAAAATGGACCAAGAAACTACGAGTTATTGCATGAGCTGATTGTTTAGTAACTGGTGGTGTTAGTGGACATTATAGCATAACTTGTAGTTTCTTGGTACTTTTTTCTTTACTATGAATGGGAAGAGAGTTGGGAAAAGTCCTAAAATATATAAATTAGTGGTCGTAACAAATAGAAAGGTACTTCAGGAACTCTCAGAGTACATCATCATAAATTCCCAACAATGGCTGGTCTTTTCATGCTGAGAGTAAAAATATAAAGCAAGCCATTTATTCATCCACAGCATAGCTTCTGTCCCATTCAGGCAGACCATTGTATTCATGCAGGATCCACCCACCCACCCACCATCACCATCACCATCACCCACAAGTGCACGACGAGACTACATCTCTTGAAGTCCACAATCCACCCATGGCCCAGTCCAGTGTGCTCTCCGGACCACAACACAGAGAACACACACACACAGAATGATCAACAAACATTCTCCACTACAACTTAGTACACGTACAATGACTGGGTTGAGAGGGACACTCTCCAACACAAATCATCTCCCAGCTGGAGCTTCTTAGCTGGCTCGGAGTGTATCCCACAACTGGCCGAAGCTGTTTTTGTTTTTTTGTTCCACACATTCAACACACCGCAACAACTACGAAGTACTTGTGGTTTTCTCTCTGGAGATTGTCTCTCTCACGAGATTGACACTGACTATCATTCTAGAGGGTGTACTGTAAAAAATTATTTTCCAAGCACAGAACCGCAGGACATCGACGCGACTGACAGCATGTGGGACGGTACGCATACGTGACCGTACCACGGTACTGTGAAATCCGGGGTTTCAATCGCACATTTTTGGCAGATAGTTTTATAGTTCCGCCCGCGCGCACACGAGATACGATCGCAGGACCAGTGATGCGCCGATAATAGTAATTGCACTCTGTCACTGTCACATCTGCATGGCTTGGAGAGATCGATTTTCATTTATTTTATTTTTCTCAAGACTTACCACCCCCGACGCAGTGAAACTCCAGGCGGCAAGCAACGCTAGAAGAGCGACGCGAAGGTCGCCATCTCCGCGGTGCCGACGGAATTGCCGCCCTAACGGCTCCATGCTCGTGCACTGTCCGAAGAAGTGCGCGATAACTCAACGAGCCAACTCCAGTACCCGTTGAACACGGACACAACTCTACAGAAGCATAGAAACAGATTTCGGAAGACGGCGAACAAATCATGACATTGTACAGTACAGTGATCACGCAGATTCCCGATGCAGCTCATGCAAAACTCTCCATACAGAGATAACAATTCTGTTTCCAAAATACAGTACATTTCTGGAGAAGTTCATTGATCGGACAAAATGCCGGTTTTCGGAACTGAAAAATAATTGAATCTACCAACAGCCACCCCGCTCCATGCTGCAACAGAGTGTTTCGGATTGAGATTTTGTCAGGGAGGAAGAGAGAGGTAGAGAGATAGAGATGATGCGTGTTGGGATACCGATAGGCACAGCTGCGCTTTTCTAGAGTCTGAACAGGAAGTCGTTGTTCCGACACACGGCACGCGTAATTCGTGTTCACAGCAGCACGCACACAGCGTGCAGCGACGACGTCGACAAGACACAGAGATCTACAACATACTAGGGGTTCCACGACAGACGACAGTCGCTCGCACACAGAGCACGACACTGCGCAGCCTACTGTGTACATGGTGTAGTCACCCACACAACAACTTACCATCAAACCAGCAACTACGACACCACCAGCAGCAGTCCAAAGTGATTTGATTTTAGTTCTGCAGCACCCACTAATCCAGTCGAACTACCGGAAGACGAGTTGAATTGGGCAAACCAGGCGACTAGCTGGACAGGAACGGAGCAGCGTGCACGGTATCAGAAATAAACGCAACCTCCAGATTCGGTAATAGGAACCTTGGCTTGGTGCGGAAGGTGAGAACTGTTTACTAGAATTTGCTCCAAAGGCAAAGGCAAAGACCTGGACGATAGTGTTACATCACCGCCACCGCTAGTTATTAGCGAGCTCTGAAGTTTGCACCCCGGTCAGCAGAGAGGTAACCTGGCTCACAGTTGCACTGGCGGAAGATGAGCATGCAGAGTTCTCTCAAGGTGGAGAAATATTATTGCGCCCACTCCAAAACCACTTGAGAGTGATTTTCAATGGACAGCTACGCCTCATTCGTGCCGTGGTGGTGTGGTGGTGTGAAGCATGCGATCGCGACCAAACAGGCAGTTACGTACCCAAACTAGTCACACTGACAAAGGGTAGCTAGTCAGTATGGTGTCGATCGATCACGGCCGACACACGACTCATGCTAGCGTCACAACCAGAACTGTGTCTATCATCAGTTTATTTGCTTCATCCAAGCATTCCGTGTGTGTGTGCATGTGATTTCAGGCGCACGCATCTACATGACTGTAGGCCTCGATCTCCCGTCGACGCGTCGTGAACGCGTGGCTCACACTACCATTGACTACGGTGACCAGCACTTGAAATCGCCTGGATGCATGCGGATTCTGCATGACTGTCAACTCACATGTGGCGTGTGCGCTGCATGAGTGCATGCATTCAGTTACCACTGCCCTGGCTGTGTAGATCTACTGCTGAGTGCTAACTCAAGTAACTGTACGGGGCACCGACTTGCCACTGTAGTGTAGTGAGACTGAGAGGGGACTTGCACAATACAAGGGCCACAGGCACATGTTCACACAACTACTTCCCAAGGGCCTGGTCACACATGCATTTTTTAGTTTTTACATGTACATGTACGTCCGTAGCGAGGATACCGAAGCACCGTGATAAACACCACCAATGTGACTACCGACGTCGTCTATAACAGTATGATACTTGATAGGTGCATGTAACGAAGCCGGCAGCTGGTTCGCAGCCCAGACACTGAGACAGGCTGACAACAGAGTCAGTGAGTGTCTGTGAGGCCTCGAGGGGCTGACTGACTATGTACAATCATGTACATTGTACGTATCTTTCAAAACTGGGAGCTGTCCTTGCTGCACGCGCGCGCTTGTCAACGGGCAGTGCCACTGTACCTCGCACTTGTCATCCTCTGACGACCAACAGCACACTAACTCCATTGGCATTGTACTTTTGAAATACAACCTGTCAAACTCGTTGACACATGAATCGCGCGCGACACCAAACAGCTCTATCCACGGCACGGGATTAGTGTTAGTACTTGCTATCCCCACATCCCAGTGGCAGTGAAGGCAAGGATTTTAGGGTGTGGCTTCCCAATATTGATCATGTACATGTAAGGATCAACTCCTGGATCTCGACCGAGAGGAAGGCCCGCAACATCATGGATTTCTAACATTAAAAGTTGGACGGGTCTTCCCTTGCATGCTCTCTCTCATGCAGCACACGATAGAGTTGGATTCAGAGACACCATTCACAATTCTCTCTATTAATGCCTCTACGATGGCCTTGTGATTATGAGTTATACCAGGGAGTCGTAAAATACCATACGACTCCCTGGTTATACATACATACATACATACATACATACATGTACATGTACATGTACATATTGTACAGACATGGTGTTAGATGATCTAATAGGGCTTGAAAGTGCTACGTCACAGCATAGCAACAATTTCAAAAATTCAAAAACTGGATCCACTTGGATCCAGTTTTTGTATGGATCCAAGCACATTTCAAGCGGTCTTACCCACAGCATGGTGATGTAGCCAGTGAAACTGACTGATTTGGCTACTGGGGGCGGGGTTACAACTGGTGGCGAAATAAAAGTCACACCTGCATGCGACATGAGTGGGTTGCTATGCACCCACATACTTAGGCAATAGCAAAGTCACACCTTAGTGGATCCAAAAATAAAAATCTGATGTCAACTTACTACTCCCTGGCCGTTTTGGCGTCATCACTTTCAAGCCCTATAGTAACACCATGTACCAGTACAAGAGTAGTACAGTACTAGTACCACTAGTCTAGTATTAGGTAAACCTTGTCTAGTACACACATGTTGTTGGTTTGACAGCATGAAACAAGGTGGAGGACACCGTGTTCCGGAAACAGTGACCTCCAGGTGCGATCAAAGACTCACGTCAGGAGAAGTCCAAAAACTCCTCTAGCATAATGAGGGTCAGAACCGGGTTACACCCCCGTAGTTATGGTTCAGATGGTCCCAACTAGGAACCGGGCCGCGGGGCTCTACCAACCGTGTGGATGGTTGTAATACCTGTCAGGTCACTGTTTGAAAGTCTGTTTCCGAACACGATGTCCTCCACCTTGTTTCATGCTGTCAAACCGACAACATAATAGGCCTTGAAAGTGATGACGTCAAAAACGGCCAGGGAGTACTAAGTTGACATCAGATTTCTATTTTGGATCCACTAAGGTGTGACTTTGCTATTGCCTCAGTATGTGGGTGCATAGCAACCCACTCATGTCGTATGCAGGGGTGACTTTTACTTCGCCACCAGTTGTAACCCCGCCCCCAGTAGCCAAATCAGTCAGTTTCACTGGTTACATCACCTTGCTGTGAGTAAGACGGTTTGAAATGTGCTTGGATCCATACAAAAACTGGATCCAAGTGGATCCAATTTTTGAATTTTTGAAATTGTTGCTATGCTGTGACGTAGCACTTTCAAGCCCTTATATACATGACGTGATGATTGCACTCAAATTCAATCTGCGGACAGAACTGTTTCGTCCTTTGTGGACTCCTCAGCAATACAGCATTTACATGTACATGTACATGTAGTCCTGATTCACTATGGTAGAAAGACAAAAAAATACCAGTAAATGGGCCCTGATCTACATGTACATTGTATAGGCACTGGCGGATAATGGTGGCAGAAAATTGGCAGAGTTCGGTACTTTTTCTTGTAAGTTTCATGCATGTTTGGTATGTGGATAAAGAAATGGAGCAGAATTCGAGGAATTGCCCGCCATAAGGTTTGTATGGTTCTGCCAATTTCACTGCTTTTCGAGCAGAATCTGCCACCTTTTCGAGCATACTCCGCCGGTGCCTAACATTAGTCGCAGAAGCTTGCTGTGGCAATATTCACGAGGCTGACTTTCACGTCTTGTAGGTCATCAACTTGTTCTGTTGTAGCCTGCGTAGGTCATCAACTACAACTAACAGTATAAGTTTCTACATTGCCCGTTCACATCTAGAGATCGATATTTTTTTGAACAACGACGAGACGAACAGAGACCACCCCCCCCCCCCCCCCCCCCCAACGAACGAATATGTTCGTCAGTGTCGCTCCTAGACGGTGAGAACAAGTCAGCGTGATGATTATGCCTGGAGAGCACTTCAGGCACAATCTTCCTCAGCCTACTCAAGCTCAACTGAGGGCCATTGAGGGGTGAATTCCCCGAAACACTGACTGTGTATTGAGTAGGGAGTGGTGCTTTCTTGCAGCTTTGCCGAGTGGAAGGTTCGATGGACTTCTCGTGTTCTCTGGATGGCAGTCGTGAGTCAGTCAAGTCAGCAGAATATCGCGAGCTCCAGTGTGGGGAGCAAACCCTTTGCTTACAATCATCGACGAAGTCGCAACCACTATTTCGTACTATTGTACTAGTAGTCGGTTCTTCTAAAGCGACGATTTGAAGTAGATCTCCTCGGAAACTTTATTCATAATTATGGTGGTAAACACGCATCTGGTAGACCTCCTCGGAGTTGCTCATTCTTAGGTTCCACTCTACGCTCAATACTAGTAAGGGGTCGTCCACAAATATCGATGTTTTTTTAGAGAAGATATTCGTTCGTTTGGGGGGGGGAGGGGTTTTGGGCCCTGTTCGTCTCGTCTTTGAGAAAAAATATCGAACTCTATCTATGGACGGGCACTGTTCGAACATGTACATGTAGTTTATGACCTACATTGTACACAAAGTGAAAGTCAACCTCGTAGCTCGTGAGCAGAACCATGGCAAGGTTGTGCGACCGTGGCAACATAATAAACCTAGGTGTATAGTGAAATTGGAGTTGCAGCTGGTCACGTTTCATGAGGAAATTGAACTTCATTAAAATATCGTCTTTAAAAAAATATTTGAAACTGGGATGTTGAGCCATAAATAAATGTGGAAGAGAAAAGGACATATGGATACGAGTTAAGAGTAACTCTCCATCACTGTAACATGATACTATATACAGTCAGAAAGTGCAATAACTAGGCACAAAACTGACAGAGTACTGAAACATTCGACGTCCTGACACCTAGCTTCAACACATCTCCGTAGCGCTAACCGACAGCCTTCCAACTTGGAAGGTTCAAGGTTATGGAAAAGACCCAAGAGGGGAAGGCAAGCGCAACGAAAACGAGCAAAAGCCACAGTCCCAACGGAACAAAGAATGTCGATTGTTACCTTCCAAGTTGGAAGGCTGTCGGTTAGCGCTACGGAGATGTGTTGAAGCTAGGTGTCAGGACGTCGAATGTTTCAGTACTCTGTCAGTTTTGTGCCTAGTTATTGCACTTTCTGACTGTATATAGTATCATGTTACAGTGATGGAGAGTTACTCTTAACTCGTATCCATATGTCCTTTTCTCTTCCACATTTAAAAAAATATCGATATTATTTTACGGACGGCCCCTAACCGTGTATTGTGTGCACTACTGTCGGAAGGTTTACTCGGACTCCTCAACACTGCTCCTCGCACTTACGGTCATTACATGTACACGTGTTTCCGGTCCGGCCCAGCTGACAGATATGCTGCCACCTGCTGGCCCTGAGCCCGCCCGCCCCAGAACCCGCCACCAACATCGAGTGAAACTCTCCCATGCCTTCCAGTTGTCAAACCCCTCCCCGCAACCAGTCCTCACATCCTACACCGATCCTTCCCGTTCTGCCTACTCGCAACATGGAATGCTCTACCTTTGCCATCCTGAACGTTCCCCCATCCGAGGCAGCGCTGCAACGCTTCAAAGTAGCAGTGTACAAGTAGTGAACCTTTTTTAAATTGTACTTCAAATTCAAAATGAAGTGCTGAATTAAAATGAGGGAAGGTGAGACAATAGAAGTGAAGTGAGAGCTAAGTGCAACGGGGGGGGGGGGGGAGGAAACTAATTGTAACGCTAGAACTGTGTAGTGAGACAACCAATCATGCTGTTCACCTTGGCTTAGGGTCCGGCGGATTCTGCCGGCAGAAAAATTGGCAGAATTTGTTACTTTTTCTGGTAAGTTTCATGCATGTTTGGTATGTGGATAAAAAAAATGGAGCAGACTTCGAGGAA